GTTTTGCTCATTGATGAAAGCAGTACGCTTGTCTACGTATGTTTTTTCCGCCTTACAGAAGTTACCCTGGACAATGCCATAACATCTGTTCCAGTTGGAACAAATATTCTATACATTTTATTACGTTAGGAACAAATAATGTAATATTTGTTCCAGTGAAAAAAATATTAGATAATATTTCTTCCACTTGGAACTCACATTATGAAGGAACTTCTATTTCAGGACAAGCTGTTGACGTATAGTAGCTTTCATCCCCGTCATCTGGAAAGTTGTCTCTTTGGAAGTCATACAACATATTTTTAAATCTAACCCCACCCCTTTACTGCTTAACACATTGTGTGTTCATCATACTGTACACTTTTGTGAATTGATCTGGGAATTGCCAATAGGTGTAGCAATCGTTTGTAACACTTAATTTAAGTTTGAAAAATCATATTGCAATTATTTGAACATTTTCTCCATTTAAGTATTATCAACTGAAGTAATTTTTTTCTCAATCGTCCTACCACCACCCAAACACTCTTATAGCATCTTGATTTAACTGTCCATCTCATGAAGATTCGGATTTTTGTGTGTCTTCTTTATTCCCTTTCTAAAATTATCTCGTTCTAGATACCTGATTATCTTTTTCATCACTTTGTGCCTGTTTTCGTTTGTATCTGTTGTTGTTTAGTGTAAAACATTTCCAACGTGAAAACTTGACACCTTTCTACCATTGAACATTCTTCCGTTTTATTTGTAGGACAAAAAATCAACAATGCTACTGCGCAGTGTAGCGGCTTCTCTGAAATTTCATTGGTTTTGAAATATTAGCATAGTGTGGTCCTCTGTCGGACTTTAAATCGTACATTTTATAAAGTCCAAAATGTCTGCTCTGAAGAATTATTGAACTTGATGAAGTTTTTCTAACCACAATATTTAAACAAATGGTAGTTATTTACTTACTTTCTCACTAACTTATCCTCTTCATCCGGAATGGAACACAAGGCGGCCACATGCTTCTTCCATACTTTTCTGTCCTTTGCAACATGCTGAGCTTACCCAAATCTCTTGTACTTCAGCAGCAACAGTACTCCAGGTGATAGAGGTCGGCCTGGTTTTCTCTTTCCTATAGTTGTCCAGTTGAGAGCTACTTTTGATGCTCTTCCACTTGGCATTCTCAGAACAAAGCCTAGCCATATAAAACGTCGTTAGTTTGATATAATGTTAATTGGACTGTCCTGTACTTCAGGTTTATGAATTAAATGCATCCTTGATTTTATTGGCATAAATATTGATTTTGTTATCAGTAAATTAAAACCATACTAAATATTACACATATGTACTTTCACGGTACTACAATCTGTCGATACTTATAGTTTGTCATTGCACAAGGTCATGTTTTTCTCTGACTGTTAATGACGTCTTTACACTAAATCCATTGGATGGTGGATGTGTACTGATTGATATTTTAGTCTTAGATACATGATTTTTTTTTCATTAGTTGTTATTGGCTTTGATCTAGCTGTCAGTAACTGCAAGAACTCGCAGATCTGTACTTTTTGGGATGTACAAGTACCCGTCCACGTCCACTGTGTGTTTTTGTTAGATGTATTTCTATTTGTATCCATCTGATAAGTTAAGTCTTTTTCAACAAATTTTTTATGTGCCTGTCCCAAGTCAGGAGCCTGTAGTTCAGTAGTTGTCGTTGGTTCACGTCTGTCATATTTGTTTTTCGTAAATTGGTTTGTTGTGAATTAGGCCGTTAGTGTTCTCAATTGAATTGTTTCATATTTTTCATGTCGGGGCCTTTTGTAGCCGACCATACGATATGGGTTTTTCTCATTGTTGAAGGCCGTACGGTTGCCTATAATTGCTTACATCGACTTCACTTGAACTTTGGTGGATATTTGTCTCATTGGCAATCATACCACATCTTCTTGTTTTTTTAGTTGGATATGTCTGATAATGTCCATGACCAGTGCGATCTAGCTTAATACAATTAATGAAAATAACGAAAGGAATCAATGCAAACAGCAAGACGCAATACAGCTAACTCACAGGTAGAAAATCAATGCTCTGACCCTAATAGGGTTCGATATTTCCCACCATTGAAATAAAAACTTTTAATCCTTATTCTAAGATTGAAGACGATAAGTAAAATACATTTCCCCTCCCCCACTGCCAACAACACCAAAAAAAAAATGAATAAATTACCTCTCAAACAAATTGGAATTCTAATTTGTACTAGTATAAATCGGAATTCTGATTTATACTGCTTAGAATCCAGAACTCTAGAATCAGAATTCTAATATCTGCTAGTAGAAACTGGGTTTTCCAGATATGTATTAGGTGGATCCTTGATTGTACTTTTTTTTAGTATTTTTACATGATTACTTAAAAAAACATAATAAAAAGAACATTTTGATTTACTTCATAGTGGTGTAGACTTATAATTAAAACCTGTCTTAATTTCTAACAAACATTGTCGGGGTGAAAGGACATGCTATTATAAGGGCGTTAGTCAGCCTAATTCTTCACTGAAATTTGAATTTCAAATTCAAGATTTCCAATTACATGTACATGTATGTCTATTGTAAAGTTTTAAAGTTTGTGTTGTATTTACAAAATTGATTGATCACCAAAATGCTATACATAATGTTATAATGAATGAGCGGATAATCTTTTAATTTTCTGGAGGGGTTTTGGAAATGAATATTAAGGCATGGTAGTAAGATCTAAACATACAAAATCATTTCGCCTATGACAGGATGGATATGAATGTTTTGCCCCACAAAATGTAGGAAATAGATGTGTACATGAAAGTTAACTCATTTGCACGGAATAAATAAGCTGACCTTACAATTGGTGAACAGGAATACTCCCCCACCCCAAATCTCAATGTAACAAAATGTCATTCTCTAAACACTTTTGAAAGAATTCCAAGAAAGTCTGCGTTTCTGTACTGTATTATTGATAGTGGCATTTTATTAGGTCTTTCCATTTTTCCGTAGAAAAACCATTTGATTTTGTTCTGATTATTTTTTTTTCTTCCACCTAATTTTTTTCTTGAGAGGTTTTGTTGTTTCGCAAGATGTCGCTTTGATATTTGGTAAATGATATCGGACAGATTATACGCTTTTGAAACTGACACCGCTTAACCGTTCACTTTACTTTGTAAGAGTTATCTCCCCGAACACTGTTTTTCTTGTGCAGACTGCGACAAAATTATTTTACCAAATTGCTCATTATATCCTCCGGTTGTCGAGAATATTTTTGATCGAAGAGATCTGAGGATTCCATATGAGAGTTATTTCCTTTATGTATTCGACATAAGTGAAATATATTAGTAACTCATAAACCATAAATGATAGAGACCTATGCTCTTTTGATTTGGGGTCCTTGGTCTGCCAAAAAGAAAATAAGGTCAAGGTCAAATGTCAAGGTCGTGTTTTAATTTTTTGCATTTGCTAGTGCATGCTACTCCTAAGAAACTGAAATATATACCGACAAAAGATTTTCACTAAATTGTTAATTGCGATATGTTGTAACAGGAATTTTTTTCTTTGAAGCTGAACGGTTACATTTTCTCCACTGGAATGTTAAAAAAAAGATGTATGGGAATATAACTTATAAACAATACATAGTAGAGATCCAAGGTCTTTTAATATGAGGTCCTTGCTTCATGAATTTCAAATTAAGGTCAAGGTCAAAGGTAAATTTGAAGTTCTAGACTTTGACCTTTGCTATAGCTTCATATTGATACATGATAAAGCCTTTGGGTCTTTTGCATTTGGTAGGAAAAAACATAACTTGAAGAAGTCAACCGGGTGTGACATTAAGTAAACCGGAAGCAGCCATCTTTTGCATTAATTTAATATAAAAGTATCTAGAACCATATAGTTTTGGAATCAGAGTCAAATGACCTATATATAATACAGGAAGTGACATTTTTTCAAACTTGAAGTAGCAATTTATCTCCATGATTTTAAGCAAGAGTGTATAGAAACCATATTTTTTTGGAATCAGTTTGAAGAAACTATCGCCTTACATCAGAAATAACATTTTGAACAGGCTTTAAATATTTCCATATCAAAATATGTGCATGTGGGGTAGAAAGAGACCTTCAATTGTTCTCTGAACAATTAGTTTTTAATTATTATTATTTTTTCTTTTCGTATTTTTCTGAAATACTTATAATAAAAAAATTAATCCAGTTAATTCTACTAAAATCCAGATTCCTCTCCGCAAAAATCTGCATATCCCCATTTCTACTAGTAGATTATGGAATTTTGATAGATGTGTACTGCCGTCCTTGATAGGATCAAGATCGTGTTATCTGTGGCTGGATATTTATCTTATCACGAATACAATCAGTTATCATTCAGGGAAAGACCCGATTATTCCATTCTCAATCTGACTCTGATTTGTATCTTTCGCAGGGTCAAAAAACGACCGAATCTGTCCTGACAGCGTCCCGATTCTTCCACATACGATCCGACAGAGATTAGACAGTAAACCGACACAGAAAATTATAACAATTTTGATCCGATACAGCAGAATCTGTAGTAAGATAGTTGAGTTTGAAATCCAACAAGGCAAATCGGCTGAATTTCCCGAATGTGACTGGACGAACCTTAATGTTAAAGTGCTTGACTGACCTCTCCAGATCATTCCTGATTTGAAGGACCTGTAACAAAATTTTACGATTGCGTTCAGATGATGATAGTACATTCCAGATAATTGAATTGAGAATAGTAGTCCTACATTTTTACTTTTTCACTTTCCGTGTTGTAGCGCAGTTTGATCTCAAACGAGATACAAAATCGGGTGATATGTGTGAACGCCGTTTAACTCAAAATTCAGATTTCTACAAGAAGATATTGGAATTCTATTAAGTACTAGGAGGATTCTAAACCTTACTGAATTCAAAGTTGAACTGTGACAGTTAAACTAATTAGAGTCAACATTATTTAAAGATCACCCTTATAGTTTACCTGTATGATAGGTAGTCTGTACTCGTATTCTGATTTAGAGTCCTACGGTTATAGTAAATCTCTATTAGCATGATTAGGAAGGTCCGAATATATTGACAACATTTGGTATCTTTTAAGGATGAAAATCAGTTCATATGGATTTGGTAGTAAGCTTTGCAGTCTATAAATGATGATGTTATTAATGCGCATATCATTTCTACTGTCTTTTACGTCAGGTCAGTAACACATTTTACAAAAGATTTATGTTGAACATGCTTATATAAATAAATATATTTGTTTCCTTTTCCAGTGCATATTTCCGGTCAATTTTAATTTAAATAGATGTCTTATTATTTATCAGTCTTTATTTGCTATATTGTGTTTTTGTTTACTGCTGTTTGTCATACGGTCGTTTTTCATTTTTTGCCATGGCATTGTCAGTTTGTTTTCGACTTATGAGTTTGATTATCCCTTTTGTATCGCTTGCCTAACTTTTATGAGAAACATATTTTATTACAAAAAAAAAACAACATGGAATAAATGTATTTTTGTTATCTTCTTCAAATCGTGTAATAGTTTTGTTTCAGTTATTCTTTGTTGATATTCATGCTGACTCTCAGGCGTACTTTTAAAAAATATTTATTTACTTCATTTTTTGTTTATTGGGAAATGGTTAACACCATTTTAATAACTGAAACAACATTTTATAGCATGGGATAGAGATACTTTTACAGCAACTTTAACTTTGCCTTTAAACGATCATGATAGCTTATTATCTGTGAAAAATGTTGTCAAATAAAACTTCAAATACTTCTAACACACAAAAGACGCACTAAATGTACAAAGTATAATTGTCATCTTTTAAGCATCTAAAGAAAATTTTTTAAATATTTTTACATATTAGACAAATACATGATAAAACAATCTGATTGTGACGTCATTAAATTGACGCAAGATTTTAACAGTGTTTTGGCAAAATAAGAAAAATTTAAAAACAATTTGGTTGGATGAATAAAAGAGCACAAAGTATGTTTTGCCAGTGAATAGATAAACATAACTATGATTTGAACTTGATTTTAATTTGTATCAAGGCTTAATCACACATAAGGATTTTACTGCCGTCCTTGATAGGACTATTCCCGATGGAAATTTGTAAAATTCAGATCAAGATCCTGTTATTTGTGGCTGGAAATTTATTTAATCACGACAACAATAAGATATTATTCAGGAAACGTCCCGATTATTCCGTTCTCATTCTGATTTTGATTAGATTTGTATCTTTCGCAGGGTAAAAAACAACCAAATCTGTCCTGCAGCGTATCGATTCTTCCACATATGATCCGACAGAGATCAGACAATGACCAGACAGTGAACCGACGCAGGAAATTATTTCGATTTTGATCCGATACAGCAGAATCTGTTATAAGATAGTTGAGTTTTTAATCCGACAGGACAAAATGGGCCGAATTTCCAGAATGTGACAGGACGAATCTTAATGTCGGAAGGGCTTAACCGAACTCTCCAAGTCATTCCAAATCCATAGGACCTGTGACGAAATTTTACGATTGCGTTCAGACGATGATAGAACATTCCAGATAATTGAATTGAGGATAGTAGTCCTACTTTTTCACTTTTTCACTTTTCGTGTTGTAGCGCAGTTTGATCTCATACGAGATACAAAATAGGCTAAGTGCAAACGCCGCATAACTCAGAATTCCGATTTGTACCAGAGGATATTGGAATTGTATTAAGTACTAGGAGGATTCTGAATCTTAATAAATTCTAATTTGTACTCAAACAGTTAAATTAATTAGAGTAAACATTATTTTGAGATCACCCTTATAGTTTACCTGTATGATAGTAGTAGGTAGTCTTATTTCGTATTCGAGGGGCCTCGGTGGCCGAGTGGTCTAAGTAGTTACTACTGTAATTACTAGCCAGTCAACACTGAGGTTGTGAGTTCGAACCCCGCTCGTGCGGGTGCACTCGACTCCAATCTTAATTGACTAGGATTGTCAGTTTTCCTATCGAAGGTCGGTGGTTTTCTCCGGGCACTCCGGCTTCCTCCACCAATAAAAACTGGCTGCCACGAAATAGTCAAAAAGCGGTGGTCAAAAGTCGCGTTAAAACACCAAAAATAATAAAATAAATATTTCGTATTCTGGTTTAGAGACTGGCGGTTATAGTAATTCTCTATTAGGAAGTTTCGAATATATTAACAACATTTGGTTACTTTGAAGGATGAAAATCAGTTCATATGGATTTGGTAGTAAGCTTCATAGTCTAACGATGATATTATTAATGTGCATATCATTTCTACTGTCTTTTTCGTCAGGTCAGTAACACATTTGACGAATGATTTATGTTAAACATGCTTATAAATATATATATTTGTTTCCTTTTCACGTGTTTCCGGTAAAAAAATAATTAATTTAAATAGATGTCTTATTGTTTATTAGTCTTTATTTTCAATGTTGTGTTTTTGTCTACTGTTGTGGCATAGTCAGTTTGTTTTCGACTTATGTGTTTGAATATCTCTTTGGTATCTTTTGCCAAATTTTATGAGAAATATCTTTTTTATTACTAAAGAAAACCACATGGAATAAACGTACTTATTATCTTTTTGAAATTAAGTAATAGTTTTGTTTCAATTATGCTTTGTTGATATTCATGCTGACGCTCAAGCGTACTTTTTAAAAATATTTAACTTCATCACTTTTAGTTTATTCGAAAATGGCAAATATCTTTTTAATAACCGAAACATTTTACAACCTGGGATAGTCATACTTTTACAGCATCTTTAACTTTGCCTTTAAGCAATCATGATAACTTTTATCTGTGAAAAATGTTGTCAAATAAAACTTCAAATACTTCTAACACACATAAGACGCACCAAATATACAAAGTAAAATTGTCATTTTTTAAGCATCTTGAGAACATCTTTTAAATTTTAAAATATTAGACAAATTTTCATAAAACAATCTGAAATTAAACTGACGCAAAATTTTTTATCAAACCTGCAATGTATTATTAGAGTACATAAATTCAGCATTTGTAATAGTGAAATTCAGAGAAATTTGAAATAACTTTGATTAAAGTGCCAATGTTGTCCCAAACTTCTCCTTATAAACAATGGTACTTACAAGTTATGTATCCTGACACATTATCAGATATATGGTTTGAAATTAACTCACAAATTCAATTTTTGACTATTTAAAGTTCTTTCAAGATTCATTCACTTTTGGGGTTCACGATGTTTGAAGGTAGTGAGTTTGCGCAATAACTTCAATTTTACGACTACTTAGTTAAAATTAACAAAGTGTCGAGCATACGTTGAATTATATTCAAAATAACAGACAGAAGATAACATCACATTAATGTAAAAAAAAAAAACATTAAAAGTTGAAATCCAGATCACAATTCTCGAATATTGTCAATCACAAATAACTTCACAAGTATTACTACCATCAAAAACAGATGCCAGTGTGCAGTTAACACGACATATCTAAAGTTTGTAACAATAAGAACATACTACCTTGTGATTAAAGACGAATATGAGTCAATTTCTATCAAATGCAGCATTAGAAAGAAGTCATTAAGTTTATATTTCTTGTAAATAAAATATGCGATCAATTGTGACATGCTAACCTAATAACGGTTGACCAATCAGTGAAGGTGACCGTTACACCAAATAACGGTTGACCAATCCGTGAAGGCGACCGTTACACCTAAAAACGGTTACCAATCCGTGAAGGCGACCGTTACACCTAATAACGGTTGACCAATCCGTGAAGGCGACCGTTACACCTAATAACGGTTGACCAATCCGTGAAGGCGACCCTTACACTTAATAACGGTTGACCAATCCGTGAAGGCGACCGTTACACCTAATAACGGTTGACCAATCCGTGAAGGCGACCGTTACACCTAATAAAGGTTGACCAATCCGTGAAGTCGACCGTTACAATCTTACTTTGATTATATCCATCATGGTTGAATGAACAAATACAGATGTCAGTGTTCAACCTTTTGAAGAGGTTCTTAGAAGCGATCATGTCCTGTGTTTAACACACACAAAAATGATCGTAAATATACTGAATTGTCTATTTTAGTCGTTCTTGTTTTTGTGAAACAGGAACCATCTGTGAAGTATCATTAAACGGCATAGGTATAGCGTATAATCATACGTCTATGGTATACTGAAATGGAAAATGTTGTAGGTAACATCCATTAATACTATGTTGTCATATAGTTTTGGATTAAATTGTATTTTCTGTCAATTTATTGACTTAGATCAATGAATAAAGGAGACCTTGGTTGTACAGTAGCATCCTTGTTTACTAGCCCATCGGAAATGTACAGATATTATGATTCAGATGAGTGTCATCGTGTATTAAGAGCAAACTAACATTATAGAGTTGGCTGATATCTTTTCAATTTTAACGATAATCCATCGGTTAATTTAATCTTTGATGAGTTTTTATACAATCCGCAAGAAACGGTGTTCAGATTGAAGCAAATTGTAATTCCAATAGTCTGTTTATATATCTGTCAAACACAAAGACGTCACCGATTAGTACTTCAGCATTCTGACAATATAAAGGGGACTTTTTTGTCAATCGAACTTTTTACACATTCCGGACAATTCGTTATTTCTGCTATCACGACATAATAAAACATATTTATGTCCTGTGAAAATCGCTTATTTTTCAGGTACATATTTAGATGAAATAAAAACGAAAATAAAGTGTCAAACAGCCTTTTCAACAAAAGACAAAAGGATAAAAAAACCTTTTGTTGAGAGTGTGTTACGCTTTAGCTGGGGGAAAAAGACGACACACGAATCTATGTTTAATTTTCAAATTGACTTTAAAGTTTATCCCCTTCGCTTTGATGACAGTTTCAATACAAATTCAAATTTTTCTTGAAGGTTAGCAGTCGAAATTTATAAACATAAACGCTACAGACTTGACTTTAAATGAAATACATGCCTTAAGAAAAACGTTACATAAGATTTTGTCAAGGACATTTAAAATTTATTTATTTCAAGTAAAGATCACCGAAAATTAGCATGCAAAATGATCGTGTTAACATTAGGAACTTCAACTAATAAACCATTTATTTTTTTCTAAACAAAGAGCGATTATAACGACGACACACAATTGAGGTTTGGTAAAAATTCCACAAGAAAGCTTAAATTATAGAAGTAGGTCACACGAAACAGCAATTAGGAATATTCTTTGTGAATAGGAAAATAGTGTTTGAGTCCGCATGCTCATCATCAGTGACGATTTTAAGAATATTGGCTTCGTAGGTAAAAATGCAGGACAATTTCATACAATAAATTCAGTAAACGTATTGCATTTATTTAAGGAATGACTGTAATATTTTTTCTGTCTATGAAGAAATAACATAAAAATGTGGTGCACGCTGAATAACCCGCGTAGCGGGTTATTTTAAAGTGTGCACCACATTTTTTATGTTATTTCGAATAGACAGAAAAAATATTACAGTCATTTCTTATAATTTAATTCTAAATTCCATTTTAAACCAGAGTAAACCATGAAAAAACGTTGAAGACGTCACGGTCACATGACAAAATTATGTCTATGAGCTGATAAACAAAACAACGTCAGCCAATCAGAAGACGCGTTACATCCAAAATTAAATTATAGGACCATATTAATATAATTTTATGATAAAGTTAAGTTGTATTGTATATTTGGTGTTTTATATGTATAAACCCTTAACTTTAATCAAAATAAGTAAAAAAAAATGAGAAAAAAACACTTGGTGATGTATGTATGTGGATGATATGTTTGTTTTAAAAGAGAGGCGAAATATATTAAGGGATATTCAAACTCATAAATCGAAAACAAATCCCATTCATAATTTGTTGAACAAAAACACGTCCATTTTAAATACCACACACATGTGGAGGACATTATTCTACATTTTTAGCAGCCACTCATAGTAAAGGTCAATGAAATCAGTATCAGTATCGGAAGCATAGCTTAAAGCGGAGGTTTGTGACGTCATCAGACTTTTCCCAGATAAGCATTTTATATGGCTTTTACTGACATTTACCCCATAATCACCTATTGTTTAATTGTTTATTATTTTTGTCTCATTGTCATATATGTCTAACCTTTATTTAAGTAGTTATAATATATAGTTAATAATCAAGGATTTAAAGGTTATTGTGGGTATACCCATAAAAATTTCGCCGAGCTACTGTATTTCAATTACGAGGTTTCACGTACATGTATTAAAACTTAGACGAAGTTTACCTTTCCTTAGACCGGTTTGACTATTCTGTTTGAGTTCTTTTTCTACGTTGTTGTCATCAGTATTATTATTCATTAACAGTGTGATCCGGAGTGTGTTGAAAACAACAAATGCGTGCACGACAAAAAAAAGATAAAAAATAAGTTACACGAACAGCAGAATTTTCGCTCAGGTTGAAGTAGGGTCGATTCTGTAAAATTTCATCCATTAATGCATGCACAATTCGTTATAAAAAATAAGGAGATGTGGTATGATTGCCAATGAGACAACAATCCACCAAATGAAGTGGATGTAAGCAATAATAGGCAATCGAACAGCCTTCATTAATGAGAAAACCCATACCGTATAGTCTAAATTTCAGGGCTCGGTAAACAACATCATCGTAAAAATAAGAATTTGCTATCCCGTTTTCTAGCCAAACTTCCAAACCAAATATTTGTATCTACGGAAGAATTTAGTAAAGGTTTTAAGTAATTTGTGATAACGATATCCCTGACTTAATAATTTACCAGTAATACATAGATTACGGTCATTGAAATCCAAAACGTCACTACAGACACGAGCATAGCGAACGAGTTATGATATATGAACACGTAAGACGGTGTCAAAGTACAGTGTTTATATTGTTGTGAAACGTAACGCTAAGAACAAAAATAGTCCAAATTTAAAATGGACAAGAAAATGGGGTCAAGTAATACAGTCCTTATAAAAGATTAGAAATACGGATATGGGATACGTAGAATTGTTAATTGTTTTCTCTCGAAAAAAATAATACTCTTTTTTATGATTTTGTGTGTATATCTTTTATGGAAAACCAGTTTGCAATAGTTGAACAAAATTGTAAATGATGCCGGAAAGGTGCACGTATTTGAAGATTTTCAAAGTACAATAGCAAGTTCAGATGATTTAATTTTCAAATTTTGTTCCTGAAAATGTTGACTGTACTTTTTTTTTTATTTATTTTGTAATTGTTTAAAAAGTAAGTTGGAAGTAAACCTTACACGATGTTGGTTGATATCTTCAGCAAATGTTAGGTCTTTTCGGTGTTGAGACTCACAAAGTATTTAGACTGTGCTTCCCAAAACTCTGGTTTGAGCTTAATCAATAGAAAAAATAACAGAAAAATGTGTTGTAGCGTAAGCATACGGTTATTTAATCCTATCTTTTAGTTGCAATTATATTATCTATTGACAAATTAGAAATAGAATATTCCAAATATTTGTTTAACTGAACAAAAATATTTTTATAAGATTTATCTACCATTTTACATCTGGTAAATACTTTTTTAAGCAATACTGCTTCCAAGGAAAAATCATTTTACAAATAGATTTTAATCTAATATAGACGTCGTCTCTCTGTGTACATGCTTTCTCGGTTGGTATTGCTCAATCGAAATTTCTGTTGGGGTTTTGTGGATAGTTGTTTGTCTTATGATTTGTATTTGATGCCCAATATTTGTTTCTATTCTTCGATTTATGACTAGGGGCCTCGGTGGCCGAGTGGTCTAAGTAGTTACTACTGTAATCACTAGCCAGTCAACACTGAGGTTGTGAGTTCGAACCCCGCTCGTGCGGGTGCACTCGACTCCAATCTTAATTGACTAGGATTGTCAGTTTTCCTATCGAAGGTCGGTGGTTTTCTCCGGGCGCTCCGGCTTCCTCCACCAATAAAAACTGGCCGCCACGAAATAGCCCAAAAGCGGTGCTTAAAAGTGGCGTTAAAACACCAAAAATCAAAATCAAATCGATTTATGACTTGAATCCCCCACCCAAACGGTTTACATCCTTTTCAAAAAGCTGGTGATAATGAATCCAATAAGCAAATTTTATATATTTTGAAAATGGTCTTTTTTCTCTATATTTGAATTTGACATGTTTGGAATTGAACTGGTAAATGTAGCTTTAAACCAGGTTTAATCCACCATTTTCTACATAAGGAAATGCCTGTACTAAGTCAGGAATATGACAGTTGTTTTCTATTCGTTTGATGTGTTTGAGCTTTTGATTTTGCCATTTGTTGAGGGACTTTCCGTTTTGAATTTTTGGAGTTCGGGATTTTTGTTATTTTACTTTTTTGAAACGTTTGAAATGAAGACAGTCATCTTGAATCTATAATACTAGTTTCGTACATGTATTCATGTGTTCTACAAAGTGTAGTGATAGAAGGCATATACTAATGGCAAATACAAGGATATGTTTCATTTATTTGATTAAAATTATTTTTATTGAAGTACACAAAAAAAAACTTTTTTTAATAATGTAGCCACAGACTGGAACAAGTTTGCAAAAGACAGCCTCAAATCAGCAATAAAACCTGATGTCAACACCAATGTTGCCAAAAACATCATTCTGTTTATCGGAGACGGTATGGGTATGTCTACCATAACTGCTTCTAGAATATACAAAGGCCAAAAACAAGGACGACCAGGGGAAGAAACAGTCTTAAAATTTGAAGAATTTCCACATGTTGCGTTGTCAAAGGTAAAAGTAATGTATGAAATATACTCAAGGATTGTAGGTAAAATAACAAAATAACTTCAGTAAATTTTAACACTATTCGGCAAACTTATAAAAAAAAGATGGAGTTGATATAAACAAAGTATATTACTTTGATGTTAAAAAAGATGAACACTAATAGCTGTGATCGTATTTGTTAATACTTACAGAAGATTGATATTAACACCATACATTCAAATGTCAATGTAAGACACCAATTTCAGTTACTACATACATGTAAATATGGTCAATTTTTGAAAACATACAATTAAACAAGTGTAAAAATATACCTAAATGAAGGCGTTTTCTTTTCCTAATGAATACTACCGTTCAATGTTTAGATACTTTTACATTGTTTAATCTCTAGAATTTACAGCCTTATTTCTTCATCGGCAACAGTTAGTCTTTTCTATCCAAAGTATTTGATAATACAACTCAAATCAAATCAAGAGTGCATTTCTTTCTAACACAAACGATGCAAACGGCTTAGCGCACACATGTTTTGATCACTTGTTTCTAACATACGTTTGCAAAGTTTACATAAACTTTGACAAACTATGCACTCGCTAAAAATGCGTCTACAGTTTGTCGTTCATCGTTTGTTGTACAAACGCTACATTTGTTTCAACTTCAACCTGATTAAACGATGTATTTGTTTCTACGTTTGCAAAAAGTCTGTTTACCAACAACATGTGCATGCATTATTGGAAGTTCAAACAGTAAACACTGATTTAACGATGTATTTGTTTCTACTTTTGTAGCGTTTAGAAAAAAAACAACAAATGCCACACAACGTTTACAAAATTTGGTTAGAAAGAAATGCACTCCAAATCAGTGTATTTCGTAATCAAAATGTCCTTCAAGGCATATCAATTGCAAACAAGAGAATAAGAAATAGGCATACATGTTCTCATTGGCACTCATACCACATCTTTTTATTTCTTTTTACACATTCATAGACATTACGTGCATTTAAACATTCTTATATGAAGACAAATAATTTTTGATAGAAGAGCCAACTGGGTAAAAGAAAAATAACCCCACTCTATATATTGTTAGAAAAACCTATAAATAGGTGTGTCAATTTGGTAATTTTTTTTGCCAGAGAAATTTACGACTGCAACGTCAACTGCTAACCAAGTAGTACAGTTTAACGCCAAAAATGTTACCTATATACTGCAATTCCACAGAGTCGACTGCATATAACTGTTTTAAGCCGCATAATTGCTAAAAGCAGACTGCAATGGGCGAGACAGAGGCATACTCAGTTATCTCACAAAACTGAACTTAAGATATCACCACAGAAATGGTCAATCATTTAGGCGTTAGTGTTAAGCAGTCTTTGACAGGGAACACATTCATTATAAGGAAAACATGGATTTCAGTGCATACCACATGATTTGCAAATTAAAGTGGCGTAATCAATTCAACTTCCACATTGAAACTTTATTTAGACGATGAAGTAATGAATGATAATTTTGTTTACATATGTATTTAACAAGTATTGCTATTCGAAAATGAAAAAAAAAATAAACAAAATAATCTCTTGTTGCGTTTTTATAGCCCATCTGTATATGTTATTTGATGTTCACGTTCGTCGTTATTCTTTTACATATTGTTCTTAGGTTTATGGTGTTGATCGACAGGTACCAGATTCTGCACAGACAGCTACAGCTTTGATGGGTGGGGTTAAGACAAACGTTAAAGTTATTGGATATACTGAAGATGTTAAAACTGACAACTGTTCTACGGAATCTATAACTAAAAGGGTGTATTCTATTTTAGATCACTTCCAAAATGCAGGTAGGGATATGTCCTATACATAACTCTGTAGTATTACTTGTAAATGAGTTCAAACGGGGTTTTTTTTTCTAATAATACTGTAATTTATATTGACTAATAATCGATAGTTTCAAACATTCAACATGTATAATTGACCATGATATCTTAATATTTTACATTTTCACAAGATCCAAAACTAGATTTTAAAGTCATTTACAATAACTTTTCATTTAATATCCGTGTACGTGTTTGACTTCACATACAGCTCCGCATCACGTCCTTGGACGTAATGATACTGTAATGATTTATGTAAATTTTGTAGATTTAAGAATGACAATATCTTTAACGGAATATGTATAAGTGGCTTTGACATAGTATGATCTTGTTAATGTTTGAAAAACAATGAAAATAAAAGGTAGTTTCCCCAAACATATGGTAGGACAACCGTATATTAACAGTTGTTGTTACTGCATAATTCTTTTTCCAATTTTTATAAACTTTACAAGGAAGAGGAACAGGAGTAGTGACAACAACCAGACTGACTCATGCTACACCTGCAGCTGCCTACGCCCACTCAGCACAGAGATATTGGGAGAATGATAAAGACTTGATTAACGCAGGAGTGACTGGTGGTTGTACCGACATTGCTTATCAACTTGTCAATGATAATTATGATATACAGGTGAGATACTCTTAATAATTGTAATTATAATAAGATGTTATATCAACAAAAATAACTGATTATCCTTCCTAATCATCTCAATTAAGAACTGGTGAAACATTGTGCTAATGGGATTAGTGTTAACGTTAGTCTTCATAATTTGCGTGATGTCATGCGATCCTTTCTAACATATTTTTGTTTGGAATTTTCATAAATTTTCTTTTACAATGTGCGAAGTAAATATCAGGTGAAATGACCGTCGATGACAATATCGAAAAGACACAACAAGACTACGGACTTTTACATAAGAGGTAACAGTAATACATTGATGTTCAAAACTTGTAAATACATTCGCATTATACAAATCAAAAGAATGTAAATCACAGGAACTTCAAGCGGAATAGAACGATAGTGCCTCGACGGGATAATTGTCTTTGTATGCATTCCCCGCCATGCAAAAATAAGGAAAAGTTCTCAGATCAGACAATTAATCGGGTACTTTAAGATATAAGACCTCAAAAAAGTAACTCGTGAATTGTAACACATACATGTTGTATTGGTCAACCAACTCGCATTGTAACCGTAAAACTTGTGTAGATTTGATTTTTAGTCGTTTTTTCCTCATAACCTTGCTGGAGTAATATTTATGTTAGCAAAACACCCCTGTTACTAATCAGTGATATCTTTTTTCTCGTGGAATTAAAGAGACTAATGTCAACATTCTGATAACCTTATTTAATTCGAGAAAAGAAATGAAATTAAAAGGGAGATCAATTTGACACTTTAGACAAATAACTAAACCACTTGACACTGTTGCATCAATGACTGTTACATGTAAATTGTAATTAGCAGGTTATGAAAACACGTGCATCTAAATACGTCTATTGGTGGCCTCGTTTCACAAATAAGTAATCAAATAAATGCTTGTCCTTTTAGAAGTTATCATTTAGTCGAGTATTAACGTTTACGGAATCAACCATATCAAAACTAAACAGCCTGTTACTGCTAAGATATATTGAACGGGAAATAAAGAACGTATTATATATTGCGTATTAAAAAGTTGACTAAATATTAAAATGAGGAGATGTTGTGTGATTGCCAATGAGACAACTGTCCACTGAAGTTAATATGAAGTGGTGATCAGCATTTGTAGGCCTTCAACAATGAAATAATTCAAACGAGAAAACTAGCGGCCTATTCTATAACAAAACAATTAACGAAAATCAAATATGACAGGTATGAACCAACGTCAACTTGGAAAATATTGTGTATGACGGAAAACAAAAGCATGTCCAAAGAACAATATTGCGTTTATCAATTTGATCTATTAATTTTAAAATCATCAGGTAGCAATGGGAGGTGGAAGACGAAATTTTCTGCCAAACACAACTACAGATCCAGAGTATGGGAAAATGGGAAAACGACAGGATGGACTTGATCTTACTATGGTATTGTCTTTTAAGACACCTGTACATGAAACGTGATCTATTTTTTTCATGGATTTGTTTTTTTTATTTCATTTTAATTCATCCTTTTTATTCAATGCTCGTTTTGGAATACTGCATTGCATTAGAAAAAAAGCAGTTGGATATCTAAATGATAAATGCATCAATAAAAGCAGAAGTATTGACCGAACAAATACAAGAGTCCTCATACTAGTTAAAGTTTTACCCCAGACCTAACTACTTATTATACTTGTCATAAACCCAGCCTATAAATTATATATTACCACAATCATTATTATTGTTATTTTTATTAATAGCATTATTATTATTATTATTGTTATTATTTGTTTTGTTTTTAATTTTCATTATTATTGTTATACGGTCATTTTGATCCTTACATTATATAAAATGCCAAACTTGAAAAAATTACTCATGTTATTATTTTCAAATATTTTATGTGCCGTAAAAGCTGTTCTGTTCAGACATTTCTCTTTTTTTAACAAATCAAAGCTGTTCAGTCACTTTTTAGATAATTCTACTATTGAACATTCTTTTATTGTATAAAAAAACAGCATTTACCCTGTAATTACAAATATATTTTAAAATATCTTGAATTCTAACTGTACACACATTGCTGAAAATTTTACATTATCATTCTGGTAGAATAAATTTGTAGTGCAGTTTGGTATATATCGATACTGGAATGCGTTAATTTCGTATTTGCATTATTTGTGTGAAATAATTTACTCTGTATAACTCCATACTTTACTTGAGTGTTCTATTTATGTTGGTCTTATGAGTTTTCTGCTCTCATACATTTGGTCACCAGCGTTTAGGATTAATGCTATTCCAGAAACACGTGTTGTGCATACTGAATTAAAATCGTTTGCTTTATTACGATTACTATAATTATCATTAAAGAGATGGAAAGAATTGCAATTGGCAAGAGGTCGAAGTCACCAATACGTGTGGAACAATCAACAATTTGATAGCATAAACCCAATGACTACTGATTATGTACTTGGTATGTATGGAAATTGAAAATATCTCGATACATTTTAATCATAAGTGTAAAACACGTTGTGTGCATACCAGAATTTTGTATTGTATTCTAACACAGAGAGGTGTACGTCTCTTTCGTTTTTTTCTTTATCTTTTTTTCGGGGCATATTTAACCAAATTGACATCAAAAGGGCAGCATATCTCCTTACCTTTGTACAATTATTCCTCGGTGTACAGTTAATTAGGAATTGAAACAAAATAATGTATGGACGAAGTAGATACAACTATGTGTGATAGAAAAGGACAAATCCTACTTTGTGCTGAAAAAATCCCCACTTCTTCTGACAAACTGACATCTTCAGAAATCTTTATTGACAAAATATTTGTAAGGTTTGGTGGACGTATCTTTTCATCAGACAGTCTGGATTCCTATGGAAACTAACAGCACTTATACATGTATGTTCGCCTACTTGTTCATTTATCCGTTTAAAGAGTAGACTTTTATACAGGTGCCATCTAAGTGAAAAGAAAAACATGCTTGTTACACTTTGGATTACGTGTTTTTCAACACACTGTCGGCATTTCTATGAGAAAAAACTGTGTTCCTCCTCTGACTGACTTCTTTCTCCTTTATTCGATGACGCAGAAATCCAACACAGGCTTTACAAAAAGAAAAATAAGAAGCTAGCTTTATCCTGAAATGTTGAATTTCGCAATTCAGCTAACTGTTGTCTCGTTGAATAGTTTCAAGATTAGGAGAATATGTTATTTTTCATTAATCAAAAGAGAGGACTCAAACTTTTCCCATTGCGAACTTTCCATTTTATTCAGAAACAATCCAACAGCTCTTGCAATCGAATTATACGTTTCCAAGTTAAAACAGTACTCCAGGGTTCTGTGTTTCATAACATGAGTTCTGTTTCATATCATGAATCAATTGATAAGGATTTACTGCTTACAATGAAGCTTTTGTACAAAAGGCGTTTAGTAGTGGAAAACATGAGAAACGTATGTGAATGTGCATTTAAATAGGTATATCTGCTGTCAAGACATTTTGTATTACATATATATACGGGGTCTGTAAAAAGGACCAATTTCTTAAGGTACAAATGTATGCTGTAAGAGCCCCATTGTCAAAACAATCGCGGTATTCAAGTCAACAAAATATAATACAAAACACATGTAACACGAAGTTGTCAACCATTGGATTACAAACTCATTGGTACAGTCATATTCAGCACTTGACGAGTTACACATGAATGATAGCGCTTAAATCTCTCCTCTTAGCCGTTACATTGTTTTTATTCCCTAAACAGCGCACCCTTTAATGTATGGAGAGAGCTGTCATATACAACCATATTCATAATCAAACCTAATCATTTGATACAAAAATCGTCATAATTGTTTTTCGAAAAATGGCCGTGATTTTATTCAAATTTCAGGTAACTTTTTTTCTTTACTTCGAAACATTTTTTCGGGACCGTACTCAGATGCATTATCTGTTATAAGATCGATCCGCCTATGTCTTTACTTTAGCTAAATCAAGAGCTAGGATAAAATCGGAGAATGCATATTACCAAGCAAGTGTTACGTTGCAAACCTTTGTTCTACTGTATTCCTTTTTGGTATTTACGGAGTATCATTATAATCAGTCCCTTTTAAGATACCATTCTCAGGGACGCCTTTCTGTGTTTTTTTGGATGGCGTCTTTGTGTTTATGTTTCATTGAGGTATACTTACCCTGGTATCTATGAGGAGTTTGTTTTTTACACCTTTTTGTATTGATGTCAGATATTTTAAATGCATATCTTGTAACACTTTCTTAGGTTTGTTCGAAAATTCTCACATGCAGTATGAGGTAGATCGTAATACAAGTTCAAATGGGGAACCAAGTATAGCTGAAATGACGGAAAAAGCTATAAATATACTAAAAAGAAACAAAAATGGATTTTTCTTAATGGTTGAGGGTGAGTAAATAGTGTTTCCCTTAAAAAAAATAATTTCTTGGGGTATCTAAATATATGTTAATCAACGGGTTTAAGTAAGAAAGTATGAATTATCGAAATTGTGATGTTAGATATCATTAAAGCCAATTGTAGTGATATGAAATGTAAAAAACAAAAACGATGTAAAAAAAAGAAGAGAAAAATAAACAAAAACAACCAAGAAAAAGGGTAAAACAATAGAAAACAAACATCTCTTAATAAAAAAAGAACAGCTAACAAGGAAATGTTTACAAATGTTATTTAAAGGAGTTTCGACTGTACTGTAAAAGGAAGCAAAATGTATTACGAAACTTTGTAAAAGCAATAAATTGCACCCCAAAAGTGTGCATTTAGTGGATTTTTCTTCTGAACAGAAACAGTTATAGATAAGTTAAACAGATTATATCCTTTGATCTGTATAATACTTTACCTCAAAGTGAGGGGAAAAATGGAAAACATTATCTCAATAGGTTAAATAATTATACTTTGCATTTAGTTAATTTAAAGAAAATATATGGTTTTGAAATAGTTAACCTGAAGTTAATGTGACGTGAAATAAGGTTTATTTAACAATAAACTAACAGTTGTCCATTAATATTGTCTATCAAATACATTTTTTGTTCAGGTGGTCGAATCGATCACGCACATCATGACACAAAAGGAGCTTTAGCACTAGAGGAAACCTTAGCTTTTGAGGAGGCTATATCTACAGCTTTAGAAATGACTGACAAGAGAGAGACATTAATTATCGTAACAGCTGACCATTCACATGTCTTCTCCATTGGTGGATACACGAACAGAGGCAATGATATTCTAGGTATGATATTATACAATTATTGACTGTTGATGAGGTTGATAAACTATTGTATCAACTGATGTTATAAATCAATTGTTTTATTATATGACTTTATGATCAATCTCAAATTTTCTAGCATTTCTTAAAAATATCAGATCAGATCACAGAGCATAGATACAATTGTCACAAAAGCGCCTTTGATTGTTTCCACCTTTAAAAGAGATGGCGAAAGTTACCAAAACTCATAATTAGAAAACAAAGTGACAATGCCATGGAAAAAAACGAAAAACGACGAAAATACAAACAACAGAACACAAAAAAACAACATAGAAAACTGAAGACTCAGCAACACGAATCAAACCAAAAACAGGGGGTGATAGTAATAGTGCTTTGCGATTTTTTTCTTTTGTGTTTTCTTATTCTTTTAAGAATAAATACATGTAATTACTGTGCAGTCTTAAAAACTATATGAAGTAATATTATTGAACGATTTTATTTTGATGGGTGACATTGGGTCACTTTTGGATATCTTAATTCCAGATTTGATGAAAAAGCAAAATATACAAGAATAAGATAATATAGAACTACCGAATATTATCTGAAATATAAAATGTGTGTGTGCAAGTAGAATATAAGGCTGTGCCGAGCATTTATTTCCTATTTGGAGGCTAGCACAGATGAAAAGTATGTTTTGGGACAGTACATGGTTGCTCATTTTATACTTCAACTAATTAAACTGTTAAGATTGAAATACTTTTGCTAAAATGACGATTATGAATTTGAAACTACGTGAAAATTCCGCAATCCATAAAATTTCCAGGACATCAAAGATGAATCTTTACGAAAACACATTATCAACGTCACAAACAAGACTTAATAAAGTCAAAGTGTATGTGGTCAATTCATTTGATTGAGCAAATAGAACATTTGCAGTATAAAATCAAATTCATTTATTTTCTGAAGTTTTAGTCAAAACATTTTAATAAAGATGCTACATGTGGAGAAGCTTATCCTTATCCTTCCGGAGCATATAAGATTTTTAGCTTTTTAGATTTCGATGTTGTGTTGTTCCCTACTGTTGTTTGTCCTTTTTGTCTTTTTAATTTTTGCCATGACGTTGTCAGTTTGTCTTCAGCTTGTGATTTGAATGTCCCTTGGGTATCTTCCGCCGTCTCTTCTAACACCAGTAACATAATTTTGTGTGATCTTATAGAATCAATAATTTTATTCTTTTTAGTTATATGTATAGCTTGACTATTGTTTAACAATCTACACTAATATTACACGTATTTTTCCTAAGGACTAGTGGAACCATTTGACGCCGAACCTTCTATTGACGGAATGCCGTATACGACTTTATCATACGGCAATGGCCCAGGAACAAATTTTACAGCAGGGCGACAAAATCTAAGCGGTATCGACACAAGTAAGTTAGAAATGATTGTTCTAGTTTAATATCTTGCACTACATTCATTTTTTTTGTTATTCAAATAGCCTAAGTTATATCTAGAATAACTTGCGGAATATGACGACAAGCTCTATATTACGACGAGCTTAAACAAAAAATGAATTCAATAGAGTTTGTAGAATTTTTGATATATCACTAACATTACACCAGCAAAACTTTGCAACAACCAATCAGTGGTAAATTAAATTTATGATAAACAAAAATGCTTTTTTTTACTTATACTGATCTCAAGTTTGTGTACATGAAACTGGCGCACAGTGTTAAGCCTTTCCTTTATTCCGATACGTCCACATCGAATAATTCAGTAATTATCATCCACTTCCATGTGACGTTTTTAATTGGCCTTATATAATCTTTAAGTCAATACAGACCATTCTCATGTGCTGAATATTACATATATTGAATTACCATACCAGTGATTAACAAGGTTTGGTGTGACTGCAAGAAAGTGATTTGTCACAACTGAAATAATCGGTAGAAAAGCTAAATCTGAAAGTTAAAAGGGGAGTTGAGATTTAATAAAAAAAAATCTACCGGGCCAAATACACATTGGCGGTTGTCTGATGGTATATTTAATGTGTTTTTGTTAAAGAAATCGGTACTTTGATAGTGTCTGTTTTATTCATACTAAACATTTTTAGACACGGGACTTTTAAGGGCTGTGTGTGTTGTATAGACACCTGTATATTTATCTCTTATATGTCTTTTGGTTATTTGTGATCGCCTTAACCCATACTAGAAAATTTAGATTGAATATGACATTCATCACAACATGCTAGTGCTCCTAAAGTGTAACCATTAACTTGGGCTTCCGAAAAGGTTGGAATTTTTGTCCAACATATGCAGTCTCACAATTTTTTTCAACCATTGAAGTTTTATACAGGACATCAACAGAACCAAAATAAAAAAATATGGAGATATGGTTTGATTGTCAAGGTGACATGTTCTAACTATCCACCAGTGACGTGTATATAACAACTTTATATGTAGTTCACCGTACGCCCTTCAACAGTGAGCAAAGAAAACCAATACCGAATAGTAAGCAATAAAAGGCAAGTTCTTTTTAGATCATTAATCAAGGCACTCAAGTGTTGCTGTAACTCAAATATCTGTGTTAGAAGTAGTTTAGAAAATTTGAAAACGAATAAATCGCACGACTTAAAATGAGAAAAGAAATGACATCAAATAATGGTGTAAGAATCTGTATTTGCTCCTTTCACGTGTAATCCGTTCTGGGAGTCGGGTTAGAGTGTTATATTTAATGTAAATGATCTCTTTATCTCATTATCAGGCAAAATGATGAGAAAATGAATTCAAGAATGCTGGATACCCCTGTTTGTCTTACAATGATGTACTTGTATTTTTGTTATTATTTTTTTATAGGATCGTTTGATTATATTCAACAAAGTGCTGTACCATTACAATTCGAAACTCACAGTGGAGAAGATGTTCCAATATTTGCTTCCGGTCCTGTTTCGTACTTAATTCATGGCGTTCAAGAACAACATTATGTGGCTCACGTTATGCAGTATGCTGCTTGCGTAGGCGATTATGCTAATGACTGTGATAGACAAATTGAAACTGTTCAAACTTGTGCCGCTTTTCATATATCTTACAAAAGTAGTATTTTCCTTATATCTTTTCTGATTTATTCATTTTTTTCGTGATTGTTGAAAGGCTGTAATATATGACGGTTAATAAGATATGAGAAAATCGGCACGGTATGGGTTTTTTCCCCGTCGAAATGCATTGTCATTATTTGTTATTAACAGATGCTCAAGTTTTCATTAGTTGCCAAAATATTTTAGTTAATATATTCACGCTGGAAAATATTCACTTTTACTTGTCTTTAAAATATTCGGCTTCGCTTCGGACGCATGAAATTTATAAAGTGTTGTTTTCATTTTTGTATTTGTATGCTTTAAAGAATTATCATGGTAAATAACCACAACGATTTCAATAACGAATAAGTTAATTAGTTCGACAATATCATAGACTATTTAATCGACCATATTTATGTATTTTGGTAAACTGATATTCCAAATCGATAGACCAATGGGTACTCATTGTCCACTGTAAGCCGTCGATTATTTTCTGTAATGAATGGAAGCAGAATTTACATCAATCCATATAACATACAGGTAGAGAAGCTTTAAAATTATTTTCAAAGATTCATGAAAACCGTATATCACTGTTGTTATTAAAATTGTTAATACATGAAATTGTTGACTGTCTTTCGCTTTGTAAACAAGGCAATGTACTAATTCTAATACAAACATAGGGTGCACATGCTTGATGCCTTAATTAAATTTGCAGCGTAATCGGATTTGAATGACTCTCTAGATCAAAATCGACATTTCTATGGGAGGTGCTTGTCGTAAAACATAATAATAAAATTGCAAAATAACTTTACTTTGAAATCGTTAAACGGTTGATTTTCCAGAATTGTTTGGTAGAATTAAATCAAGATGGCTGACTTGCGAATTTGTCTTGCAGATCCGCTTCAAACGAAAAATAGTTTTGAATTTTCCCTTTTAAATCGAACTTTATTCTTTTTATTTCGAACTTAAATTAAAATGCACAACTCGTACTCAAATCTAACATATTAAAAAAAAAGTAAAACAAGTGAAACTGCGAGCTACTGCTCACTGATGATACCCCAGCCCAAATATGCATTTGTTGTTGAGTGATGAATCTAAAAACGCATCACACGGTATAGCTGACTTATATAAACCCTGAAACCAAATTTCAGAAATCCTTATGATGTAGTTCCTGAGAAAGATGTGACGACAAATATTCATGGGACGGACTGATGGACGGAAGGAAGGACGGACGAACGGATGGACGGACAGACAGAAGTAAAACAGTATACCCCACCTTTTTAAAGCGCGATGTTTCCGACGACGGTGGTGTTAACAATTGTAAAAGTTTGTGATTAGGTCATTCAAGTTAGGAGGAACCATACATGACAAGTCTATGATATTTTGTAGGCAGTTGTATTTGTAATGGCACAACTCATTTTTACAGATATTTATAAAAAAAATATATTGACTGCCCATGAGACAACTATATCCACCAGAGACCTTATGCTACAGGTAAACATTGACTATCAGTAATTAAGGAGTGCAAAGTCCATGTACAGGATTCTAGAGTCTTGTTTATTTGGTGCAGGTAACAGTTCCTGTTTCAAATCGAAATTCATCTTTGTTATTTCAAGGAAGAAGAAAAAGTAGAAAAAGATCAAGAGTGTCCATGTCAACAAATTTTGATTTGTTTATTCCTTATCGTTGTTTATCGTGCACAATTATACGCACATCCGCCCGTTCATGGGTAATGTCGATGAAGTCAATGACACCTCTTGCACAGATGCGTTCTACAAATTTAGGATCTGTAAAAGCTCCAGCTAAGATGTGTTCTGTAATATCTGATATAGCGCATTTTGTTTGTTTTGGTTAAAAATCACAAGAAACTATAGCGATGCTATTTTATTTTCATTGCCAGATAAATTAAAATTCGGTCAGAGGGAAAAAATCAATTACATGGAAATTTGGAATTCCTAAAGTGCCTATGCTTGATCTTCTATCCCATTCTACCACCTTGATACACATTTAACATCATATCTTTCAAAGTAGTCGCCCTTAAAAGCAGTCAAGTATTTAATGGACTGGACGACTCATTGCGTACTTTGCACTGGAAATGTCCGTCATTTATTTTCCTTATATACAATGAGACCCTTCACTTTGGAAGAAATGATTAAAAAAATCAAAAAAGAAATAAGATGCACAAACAATCTTTGTTAATATATAAATACAAAAATAAGAAGATATAGTATGATTGCCAAATGCGACAACTACACTGTAAATATGAGTGTTAATAATAGAACACTGATTGAACTATTTTTTGTAACACTTTTTGAACGTGTAATGTTGTTCCAAATGTTAACACTAGTGTTACTCAATTGAATGTGTGGTGTTCAGTTTTTAATGCCTTTGTGTTTCATTTTTGAACACTTGATGTTAAAAGTTCATAACACTTATTATTCAACTGTTTAATCATATTGATAGTTTAATCAATATTTGATTGGTTGAGACTATCCCACGTGTCATTGAACAAATCTTCATATTCCATTCTGAGGATCATATTCCCCTCTGAAATGTCGGGATTACTTCGTGCGACGTTACGCGCGATTAATGTACATAACGTTTTGAACTTCTTATTCTTCTTAAAATAGCAAAAATCATTATCATGTTCAAATTTATTTCAGACGATAAAACAAACATGCTTTAATTAAATTAATAATTAAATTTTGATCCTTACTGTCTATCAATGGGTATGTCGTGTTTAGTTTGACTTACAAAAACAAGCGGATACGAAAAAAAATGTATGCAAAATAATATTTAATGCATTGATAGTAAACACAGCATAGGCAGTGGAATAAAACATTCATTTCCCTTTGCCTCGGGAGATATGAAGATTTGCTCACCCTCGAAAAATCATATTTCCCTCGGGCAGAGCCCTCGTGAAATATGAATATTCTTGGGTGAACAAATCTTCATATCTCCTTCCGGCACTGGAAATAAATGTATAGTGTTCAACGATTAAACGTGTCCGAATGTTCAAAATGTTAACACGTCGACGCGTTCAACAGCCCTGTAAGTGTTCAGATTAGGAACACCAGATGTTCACTTTTAGAACAGTTGACTAAAGTGTTCAAAGTGATGGTGTTAAAATGTTGAACATGTTCTGTTTTCAAGCGTACATAATTTTCCATAAGTACTCAACTTAAACTGTTATAATTAAAACTATATAATTATTCAATTCAGGCAAAATAACAATAAATACATCTTTTAACGAGTAATTCTTTATGTAATCAAATGAGCATATATGAAAGAAAAGTACATCTGACGTCTTATGATATCACAAGTAACAGAAGTTACATCAGTGAAATCACATACATAATTTTTATTTGAAAACTGTCTCACGGGTGTCATTCGGTTTATCGAGAGAAATGATCGTGAAAGAATACCTAACGGTGGTCAAGCATTGCGATCGGATTGTGAAAGATCTGGTTTCGATCGTGAATGTAATTAATTGTAATTTTACTTCAAAATCTTTTGAAAAATCTGTTGTATTTTCAAAACGCGGTACAAATCCGAAAAAAAAATTATGTCTGTCAAAATGATTCAACATTCTCAATAATACTGTGCAATAAGATCTATAAAATATGCAGAACTTTATGAGAAAACACAAAAGGCGCAATACAAGTCTATGGGATTCATTAAAAAAAGAACACGTTTTGTACCTATAATGACTACATTTCAATATATAATGATATATTTGAAACTGAATCATTGGTGTGACAGATAATACAGTAGAATAAAAGTTTTTTTCCCTTGAAACCGTTCATTTTGTTATTAAAAACACTGAATTTTGTTGATTTTTCATTAAAATTGATCGTGAAAGATCGGGCAACGCATTATCACGATTGTGAAAGACAATGCGTGACCAGACAGACGCAGGACGTTTGTGTTGTTTTTTTTACCTGTAACACAAAAGGACATTTCCGCTTTTAACTTTGATACACCTGAACTGAAATTGACAAGACATTTGCGCTTTTTACCTATAAAAGTTGTATACCTGTAATCTTTAGAAATTTTACCAAAGTCATGGAAAGATGTTCACATATTCTTTGAAAGTTCATCCGAACAAACGAGAAATTCAGAAAAAAATATTAGGGTAAACCAGACATATTATAAAGAATATATTATATACGTTTCTGGGGCGCATTAGATTTGCGCGTAATTTCGGGATTCATTTCTGTTTACGTTTGCGCGCAGCCTTTGCTTACATTTGCGAATATTTCAGAGTAAATAGCATTCTGTTTCATTTTTTCATCGAAGGGCCTTTAATGAATAATTTGATTCAGTTTGTAAAACTACACCAAGACACACACATGGAGTTTCGTCTGTCAGAAACAAATCGGGGAGAGGGGGAGGTGATTTGTGTACGATGGAACTACTTTCCGTATAGACAGAACACTTAAGTCATGGGATATTTCATAGAGATGCATAGTAAATAATTGCAAAGTTATTTCACCGGATTCCCATTTTCCTCCAAGTCTTTGGGCATCCAGCAGAATCCAAGCGTACTACGTATATTTTTGAGCATGTTACGACGTGTGAAATTAGTACTTTTAATCTTTAGATTTACTATTTTCTGCATTTTTGTCTGTATATTGTTCCAGGACTAAGTGCGTGTGCGTAATAAAACAGACTCGAAAATAATAGTTGAATAGATAAATAAGTATAATCTTCTTTATTTACCCGAGCTTACCTCTAAAATAATGCGCGCAAATGTAATCAAAAGCTGTGCGCAAACGTAATGATTTTGCGCACAAATGTAATGGTAATGCGCGCACCGGTTTCTCGGTAAACGATAGAAAAAACGAAACTTTTATGGATGGAATAATTAAATTTTGACCGAAATTCTTCAATTAGCTTCCTTATTAGTGGATTAAAATTGGAAAATATATTCCTCTTGTGGTTATTCTGTTGCATGGAAAGTTCGAGGAACTGTACCATCATAGTTTATCTAAGATTGTTTCAATTTGTGAAAACCGAAATTTTATTTTTAAACCACCTGCTGTACCTGTTGAATTTTAGAAAGAGTCATGGTTGTTATTAGGAATTTACTCATCAACTCTCTTGGAGTGTTGTCGTCTTCATCTGACACAAGCATAAAGGAGAAAGGTTGATGCTTTTAGTTGTAAATAAATGTATGAATTTTTTTGCGTTTTTTTTTCTATATTAAATGATTGTTTATGTTATGTTGAGAAAGCGCAAATGTCCTATTGAGAAAGCGCAAAGGTTCTATTTTTTAAAGTGCAAATGTCCTAAACATTTAAGCGCAAATGTCTATTTAAAAAGTGCAAATGTCCTGTCAAAAAGCGCAAACGTCCCGCGCCGGACCAGACTTAATAATCAGAAAACAATATTTCTTTTACCAATTGATATATCTGCAACTAGTATATATATATATATATATACATCTTTATTCTCATAAACCAAAGTCTGTCGTTAAGTACTTTTAGTAAAAATTTGTTATTCGAACATACCTACTCTGTTGTTATGAAAGGTATTTCACTTGACCCATATATTTCATTTTTTAGTACTGTAAATTTGTAATGTTATTATATCAACCTAGAGCCTAAATATATAAAAATAATAGAATCTGA